TATATATATGCACTCGGGTTATATGGTTTTTATCATCTTGTATCAAGACTTCTTGAATCTGTCTTTTTCTGACGTCATGAATACTTGTTATATTGTAATCTTTGAAAATGTATTTTTTCTGTATATATCATTAAGAGGCCGGGATTTCAGTGTCAAAATGTGAAAGTGCATTACTTAAAGTACCAAAAGGTTGTTACTTTCGTACTTGAATAACAGGTGGCATACCTAATGGCCTCACTCTATGACAAATATAATTAATTTAACAACAACTATACACTCCATGATAGAGCTAGCTAGGCCGTTTTAATTCTAATCGTGATCATTTTAGTTAGTTCAGAACACGTTTATTCTTTTTCTTGTATACTATTCCATGGAAATGTTTTTCTCATCTTCCCAAAATAATACAGAATCTCAATTTGTGTGTAAACAATGTGTGGCTAGGATATCATTTCAATATATTTGTATTAAGTTGTCAACTATTTAGATCATTAAATATGAGTTAATGTCTATATCATAAGAGTAAAGTTTGCCTTATATATCTAAATATCCCTGAGATACAAAACTTCACGTAATACACGAAATTAAGTGGACTGTACAGTCTATATAACTTCAATCAAATGTAAATAAAAGTGCCAAAATATGTTCATACTAAAAATAACATGTTTTTTGTGTTAATACAATAACTAAGTCTACGAAACTGTCAGGCGTTTCAAGTGTACTGTTACAAGAAAGACAGATTAAGAAATTATATACAAACTGGAATATTAAATAGAAGGAAGACGATTTCGGTGTCGCATATGAATGTTTCTGTTAACCAGCTGTTGAAAGAGTTCCGAATTCAGAAAAAATGGAATTGAGGGTAACAGAAGAAACTTTTTTACCTCGACCCCGTGAGTTAACCAAAATTCCTAGTGTAACGTTTAGCCGACGAAGTGGTTTGCTCGCCGAATATGCACAGAGAACCATTCGGAAATTTCCGGTTACTTCTCGAAGGTTCCGCGCTTAACACTAGGGGATATAGCAGAAACGATGCGTTAATAAAACTGCTGTGTGCAAAATAAATAATAATAATCTACATAATGTGAGTAAAACAATAAAAAGTCTATTGAAATTCATATACGATGTCAGTGTTTTGAAATTCGAATAACATTTCTCAATCTGACATCGTATATGAATTTCAATAGACTGACATCGTATATGAATTTCAATAGACTGACATCGTATATGAATTTCAAAAGACTGACATCGTATATGAATGAGACAGTTGAAATGTCTGAATCTAACACTTTTATTCTCCACTTATTGCGCCCTTTATGAAATTGAAAACCACTTGTCATTAATTTTGTTGCATTTGATATACATATATGAGTCCTTAATAACATTGCTGCTAAATGCATAGTACATTTGAGAATACTTTATTCGATGTTTTACAAATTATATTTTTCATATCTTTAATGTTTTGTTCTTGTTTTTTGAATTTTCACGCAAAGCTATACGAGGGTTATCTGTACTTGCCGGCCCTAACTTAGCAGTAAAATATTAGAGGGAAAGCAACTAGTCATCATCACCCACCACCAACTCTTGGGCTACGAATAGTAAGATTGATCGTCACGTTATAACGCCCCCACGGCTGAAAGGGCGAACATGTTTGGTAGGACGGAGATTCGAACGAGATAATGAGTCGAGCGCCCTAACCATGTCTATCTTTAATGAACATAAAAAAATCGATTTTGAACCTCTTACCACTTCTATATGTCCTTCCCTACACCCGCTCTGAAACCGAATTTGTCTGTCTTCTTGAGATCTATCTCTGTAGCCTGTGTATTTCACCTAAAGAAAAACAAAAGACAGTGGTCTACTACAAGGTTCCCACACAAATGTTTATATTAATTTTCATGACCTTCTCTCACAAAAATTACCTTACAGTATGGTTAAACTGTCTCACGCGAGTGAGATAACTCTTTATCTTACAGATCCGAACGGTCAGGGTCATTCATCAATGCTTGCTCTACGTTGCTAAAAGCTGTTATTGCCTAAGTTATACATTACATTCAAGATGAGCCAACCTTTAAAGTAACAACTGCACTAATTAAAATATATCTTCTTGTGTTTTCTTCTTTCGTGTTATCATAAGATTTTACATTTTAAATTCTGTATTACATATTCATTGTTACTCCATATTTTATGTTCAGCAATATGGAAGAAATTATTTCCTTGACTTTTTTCCCCACCCTTGACCAATACTCCAATGCACTTATTTTCCCTGAAATATATACTGAACAATGTAAATTTCCCTGAATTTCTAGGTTTATGGGAGTCTGTAATTAAGGGACCATTCAGTTATTATCATAAAAAATTATCGAACATTTTTGAATATTTCCAGATACACATACGCACCACTTTTACTGAACACAAAAATGTAAAAATATAAGACTTGGTGTGGTTTAAGAAAGAGTCAAGTAAATTTCCTGTTATCCATATTTATTAAAGAAAGGTATTGGTAAGAAAAAGTTAAAAAATTTACTAACTCTGGCAATTTTCTTTTCTATGTAATCTGTCGAACAGGTTCTTGCTTCCATACCAAGCCACAAATATTGAGCAATATTCAATAATTTCTAAGGATAACAATTAAGAACGGTCCCTAAGATTATGTATGCCCGGAATACATCTCGAAACAGGAGTTGAGAGAGCTGATACACCTGTGCAAGACTAGTGTTACCTGTCCATATAACTTCCGGGTAAAAACACCTTCAAAGGTTAAGGGCTGTTTTAGAAGACTTTATATCATATTCATGGAAAATAATAAATATTTACCTCACTTTCGCGACTGAGCTTCCGGAACAGTTCATCTGATTCAAACTTTGCCTTCTGATCGGCCACGACTCGAGGCATTTTGAAAACAAACCGAGGAAGGTGGTCATAAATGCTTGGAGTCTCGAAAGGGAGCATGTTGGATTCCGTCTGTGATGTTTCACTCACCGCGGCAACAACAAATCTAGTTCTGTTGCCACGCGCGAAGGCTTCGCTATGGCTAGCAGCTCCTATTGGGCTGAAAGTAATCGTTTACTCACCGCTTCGGCGAACCGGAAACCGACGATTACCATATCGGGCGGCTCGGCCTCAGGGTTCGGGAATATGGGCGTACTTCTTGTCTGTGACGTCAGAGAATAATTACGTGGTTTCCCAGAAGGCCCAGCGACAGGTGTGTGTGTGTGTGTGTGCTTTGAACATCTTAATCACTTTCATCTGTCTTTTTTATATTTTTATATAAAAATTTATAGCTAAATCAGCATAACAAACACTCTGTATGTCACAAAACTCCCATTTATGCAACTTAAACACTTTCTACTAGAGAACCCATGGTCCTATGGTCCACATTTACAGGGTCGCTGTAATTCAAATTTAATACTTGAACCACTATTTTGCAGTTTTACAGTTTAATGATCATTGTCGCTATGATGAAACCTTAATTTCTTAAACCAAGTTACGAATAGGTTAATTTATACAATAAACTAGTATCCTTTCTTTGTTAATAGGTTAATTTATACAACAAACTAATCTCCTTTATTCATTAATAGTTTAATTTAAACAACAAACTGGTATCCTTTCTTTGTTAATAGTTTAATTTAAACAACAAACTGGTATCCTTTCTTTGTTAATAGTTTAATTTAAACAACAAACTGGTATCCTTTCTTTGTTAATAGTTTAATTTAAACAACAAACTGGTATCCTTTCTTTGTTAATAGTTTAATTTAAACAACAAACTGGTATCCTTTCTTTGTTAATAGTTTAATTTAAACAACAAACTGGTATCCTTTCACTATCGGTAAAAATCGATTCCATTTACACAACGATGAAACAACCGCTATCTACTGTTCGCAATTCCATTCATATAAATGTTTTATGAAAAGTATTTTCCCTCTTGTTAACAGTGAAAATTATAGAATAATTTAACACCCTCTAACTGATGTTATATTTCAGTTTGTCCATTCTCAAGTTTTGAAACTGCTGTTTTTGGGATATTTGGTTGATTTCTGAACAACGCCTCGTCTCTGACAGTAAGAGATGATCACGTGCAACAGTGTACCTCAAATGTTGTATGTGATCATGTCTCACTGTTAGAGACGTATAGCTTACAACTAGCTCGAAACGTCATCCTCTTAAAATAAAAATATAAAAAACTTGGCGCTCGTTTAACCTATTCTTTAATTTCTATATCTTTTTCGCTTGTGAGGTTAACTATATATTTCACTGTTAGACACGGAACGTTGTACAGAAACAAATCTATTATCCCACAGATAGCTGTTTCAAAACTTCATATTGTTTGTAAGTTAAGTGGGTACCTCTTAAAAAGTAAGTAATATACATTCTGTTTTAATATTTTATTCATATAAACAACCATGAACATTTTGACACAATTAGTTCTGCATTTAATTATAAAGTAAGCATTGATTGAAATTCTACTTGATCATTGCACATATTATTAGTGATAGTATAAGCACTGGTTCACAGCTGTTAATACTTAAGCATATGGCAAAAAATTGACGTAATTACTACTGATGACTACTTATTACTGTGATAAACCTGTTTTGGAATAATGTAATTATTTCACTATTGTAGTTTTTTATCGTCGAACTTTTGTATGATGGTGAAAAGAGGAATATAAAATTTAAACATATTCTTGGATTTGCCACATGTCTCTGAAAAAAAAACCAAAGTATGTTCTTCTGGCTAATTTAGAATAATCAATTGTCATCATTATTACTGCTCATTCTTCTCATTTGTGCGGGTTTCTCATGAGACAAAATCATTACAAATACCAATGACAGACTGTGTCTCGTGATTGTGTATTGAAACAGATGAAATTAAAACCTATAAGCAAACTGCTCTGTGTCAGCAAACTTTTGAACAGCTCTTAACAGGCATTTATATAGTAAACTAATATATTTTCTAGATTCCAAATGAAACGTTCCATTATATGACTTACACCGTGGTTTGACAACGTTGTTCACTGGATAAACTGAATACAATATATTAATTACAGAGAGGTCCAAAGGCTAGTTGTTCCTACAATTTCGTCTCTTTTGTGTGGATAACATTTGACTGGTATCACCAAAATTCATTGGTAATGAATTAGCCTGTGTGCTTGGCTAATGTACTGTAATAGACAGAAAGTAAAAATAACTAGTAAAGTGCTCTAGGTCAATGTACTTTTGGACCGCCCTGTACAATCACTTCGACAATAAACTAACATGTTTATGTGTCTAGTGTATGATCTTTAGCTTAATAATTGTTAATTTTTATTTACTGGCTAAACTAAACACAATATGCGTTCTGAGTAGTCAAGTAATTAATTAAGTGTATTTGTTTATTTGTTTTCAGCTTGTTTCATCAGTACATTATTTAAAAATGTTGTTTTGTGCTGTGGTTCAGAGGCTCAGTTTTTACATAATATTTTTCGAAAGCTAAGCGTAGGCTACTGAGATACATATACAAATAATTATATACAAGTTTTAAGTTAATATAACAATGTAAGGATACCGATTTGATTTTAACTTTTTGTATTTGTTTGAAATTATATTTGTTGTCTTTAAAAGTCTTCTAGTAACTTGACAGTTATGAAATTATGCTTGCATCCATAAATTAAGGATTTAGTGTACTATTTTGAGTTTGACCTTTGATTCCCGCAACTGGTTAATTGATAAAGGTTGAATCAAATTCGTCATAGTTAAAATGCTAATACCGAGACGTTATAAGAGCGATGTTTTAGTTCAGTCCTGCCCTTAGAACTCCTTTTTTCATCATCAATCGTGCTCACTCTTGTGGTCATAATTATGAAGTATTGCACAACAACGCTATTTCCACTGTAACAAGCTTCTGCGAAGAACAGTGAGTTCAATCTTAGATGCATATCTTGAGAGACTTTCCTCCAGCCTCCAGTAAACATGGACGACAGCTTCCAACACCTCGTTTTAGAGGCTTAAAGACACATGTCCGGTGGAGTTGATTCAAGGGACTTGACAGATATGTGGGAAAGTGCAATAGCTGCGTTTCTGTTTCTTTGGTATTTTCATTCTCATTAAAACCGTTGATTTCGAGTTGTGGCTGGAAGCTTATGAGCGTTTGGCTTGTGAGCGTCTGTTAACTTCAAGTGTTTCTCTTTTTTATGTTGTTAACGGTATCATGAGATACATTCACTTTCATTGCAATAGACTTTGGGGTTGAAAGATTTTCTTTCATAACCATAGCCTTCATTTTGTGCAGAAAGGCGTTGTTTGTTTGTAATTAAGCACAAAGCTAAACAATGGGCTATCTGTGCTCTGCCGACTACGGGTATCGAAACCCGGATTTTAGCGTTGTAAGTCCGCAGACATACTGCTGTGCCACTAGGGGGTAAGGCGTTGTTTTGCACTGGGATAGATGAGTGTTATTCCGCAACACGTGAGAAGAAAACTTGGATAAATGATAATAAAGAATAAATTGACAATTTGCCAGTTTATTTTGTGCGCACAAAATAAACTGGAAAATTGTCAATTTCATCTTTATTATTATTTATCGAAGCTTTACACTGGGTTAGTGTGTGATTTTAAGACTGGTTGCTGTCTTATATGCAGATACTATGCGAGCTTTTCCTCTTTCTTTGAGAAAATGAATATTTTTTTTCAAAGTGTCATATCCTTTGATTCTAAATCGTTTAATATTCTTGCAATGATGATGTCTTTCTGAGAAAAGGCTGTAACAAATACGCCCTGATAAAATACAACTGTGGCGACGTTGCAGTGTCGAGTGAAACGAGAATATGTTATAATCGTATATATAGGTGCTAAACATGTTACTCATGGCATCATGCCTTGTGACAGTAGGGAAACTCCAGTGTAGTATATACAAAGCATTCTTGTAAAGCGCGATTAACTTTCTGTGTGCTACTACCATAACTACTCACTTTCCAGTTACATGAATTTTTATGATATTCTCATCTCTAAATCTAAGTAAAAAGTAATATTCAAACATGCTTATTCTAAACATATGGTTGTTTATGCATTCATTGTTGTTCGGGTGATTTTGCAGAATTTATAATATTTTCACGTCTAAATATTCAGCTGCTATTTTATTTCCATTTATCCTCGTATTCACCTCTTACTAACTTCCCATTGCTGCTCTAATAATTCTCACAACAATACGATAAACTTTGCTCATATTTCTTGTTTCTATCTGGTTTGGCCGCGCGTATGTTTGTGTTGACTACATTTTTTAAAGAAAGGGGAAAAAAGTTTTAAGTTTTGTTCATTTTCTTGCGATCCAGTTAAGTTTCCTCGTAAATACAAAGAAATTTTGATTATATTTCTATAACAAAAATTGGTAACGCAGCTCTTTTTAATCTCAAGTGGAAATGTGTGTGTATATATACAAAAGAATCTGTTGATTTTGATATTAGTAAGTGTGAATAGCTTGGAAGATTCACGAGGTTATATTAAGAAATACAAAATGAAAGGCTCAAAGACTGGAAATAACTTCAAGGCCATAAAATGATTTGTAATACTTACATTTATAATACGCTTGTAATACGGCGTTAATCGTAAATAATTAACTTACTGTAAGAAAGAACTGCCAGTTCAACATATTATGGTTGCTAACCATGTAGCGAGACAGCAAAAAGTACCTCATTTTTTAAGTTTGATTAAACAAATGCGAACATCTTCATTCAGTAAAGGTTGAATATCTCATCTTCACCAAACTACTTGAGTATTTTTGTTTTGTTTTTTTGCATGATATAATAATTATCTAAAATTAGCTAACTATACAGACAAGACAATGATATCTTTAACTTAAACTGATACTTTATTCTCTCATTTTTATTCGGGGTTACTTTGACGTAATTGAGCTGACACGAATAAGAAAATAGCAGTGTTTACACAATAACCATGTCAAGATAACCAGCAATCAACAAG